TCTAGCTCCATACGTGACACAGAAGAGAGAGCAAATAAATATATTTCCCAAAATGTTGTGCTACTTCTTTTTATGTTTTTCATGAACATTTGACAATTTGGGAGGAAGTGCATGTTAAAATTTTGATATATGAATACAACTGTTGCACCAGGAGTGTTTTCCTGAAAGTAAAATCCCCTCTCTATGTCATCCGTACTTTGATTAGAGCAGTATTTCAAACACAAGAGACGTATCTTAAGACAGATGCCAGTTTTAAATTCTTATCTGACACTAATGAGGTCCTTAATGGCTCTAACACTTGGCACAAAACGTAGAGGAAAATGAAAAGCAGCCTGCGGAGGAAAGCAGATCAGACTTTGGGAATATGGGAAGAATTGGTTCCTTGATACAGACGATTAGTGCAAGCAACAGAAAAACGTGAGGCTCTGAGAGGGGCGTTTAGAGCTTGAGGAGCTTTATAATGAGAAATAATTACACACACACATACATCCACACACAGGAAGTCAGCACTAACACTTCAGCTCTACAGTGTCACCCCACCCTGCCTTGCATTAACTCTAATGAGGAAGGAGACTGTTGAAAACCGCTATGTGCCTATAGCTCAACAAAAACAGACTTTAGTAAAGCCAATGCCGCCAGATCAGACAGTATCCAATCAATCTTTCTTGTACAGGCTTTAAAGTCCCTATTTCACTGTACTACAGTTGTGTGCCTCACGCATGGATGGAGGGAAGGTCACTAATCTGTGCATCTCTTTTGAAGCATCGTTGATGACAATACTGAGCCTTAAATTCTGCAACTATGAAATTTGAATGTAATAAGCATCTTTGTCCTGGAGGAACACCCAAAAAATATTCCTCATGTCCTAATTCATATTTACACTGACACTGAAGCGTTTACTAATTCCTATGTATGGTGGCCCTGAGGTGCAAAACACAACATTACAGAAAACGATAAATTTATTTCAGGAAACAATGAGATTTTAGAAAACACCACAACACAACATATTGTATGATTCTCCTTCATAAAATAAGTAACACTGGTTTTGATTATTTTACATGTGTAATGTCTTCATACACAAATCAAAGGTTTGGCAGTGAGTAAAAACCTTTTGCTACAGTATACACAACAATCTGGTTGCACTTAGTTTTGGACAGAAACTCTACTAAAGTGGCATCATTTTCTTTTGGACAAGGCTGCTAGGAGCACTGTCACAAAAGTGAATGTCTCAACTTTTTTTTTTTCCAATGGGACAGAACCATGTGAGAGACTGTAAATGCAGTGCGACCACCAGAGCAAGGTGAACACAAAAAAACAATTTTCCGTACTTTCATCTTTCTAAAGATACTGTATCACAGAGTGACATCATTGGCATCCAATGAGACTTACAAATAACAGCAAAAAAACAGAAGGTACTTATAGTTCAAGGGAATTCAGAAGACGCTCAGAAATTGTTGATGATGTGTTATGTAAGGGTCCGGACCGAGCCAGTTACTCAGACTGAACTTTCCTTTCATTACCTGTAGATTATTAGATTATTCAGTCTCATGTACAGTGTTTCACTATTCTCACAATAACATGCTTATGTAACATTTTGTTAGTAACACGGACCGGGCTGCATTTTTTAGGCCTTTACAATTTGATATTTCACCCTTTCACACAAACACAACACACACACACTGGCGAGCTATCATGCATTGGGGAGGTTTAGTGTCTCGTACAAGGACACCTAGACATGTGGGCAGGAGAAGCCAGAGATCGAACCACTAACTGCCAACCCTGAGATTCGACATGCTCTGCCTACCTCTGCTGTACCTTCCAATGTCTATTTTCTATTTAATTGTGGCTATACTTTCCAAGCTATGCGGTTGTAAAACCACGCCAAGCTCTCAGCTATTTCTATTTCATATTTAATTTAGGAAATCAGGGAAAGCAACACACTCTGCCCCCTTTTCACCGCCAGTGGGGCCAACTGATAAATTATGATAATAAAACTTTTTCCTAAATCTGTGTGGAGTGTCAGCAAAAAAAAGAAATGCAGAGTTTCTGATTTTAGAGCTGTAATTTTTGTCGATCAATTTGAAACAAGCTGCAGTGATTTCATCCTTGATTTGTTTGGATCCTGGCTCTGGTTCTTTCTCGATGATTTTGCCAACCTATAGACCTACAAATTCCTACAAAGACACCAGGCCTTTGAACCGCTCAGCAAAATTTGACATGTGTAGCGATCTGGAAACAGACTACACTGTATATGTAATAGTCATGTCCCCTGGTTCATGGCCTCTGGTGAACTGTGCTTCTCTCTGGGGTCAATAACCAACCTGACACTTGATGATGCTGAGAGGGACCGTTTGACAACACACACACACACACACACACACACACACACACACACACACACACACACACACACACACACACACACACACACACACACACACACACACACACACACACACACACACACACACCAGCCATCCATAGTCGCTGTGGAAACCATTCAGACCAGTGTAGATGCTCTCCAAATTATTTGAAGGGTTTGTGTCTATCTGAGAGTACAACAGGGAGAGAGTGAGGCAGTGTGTTATTTGTGTGGTTGCATTGTGGCTCACTGTGGGGGTGTGATACTGCAGGTTGCTGGCAGACTCTTTCTACTGCACAGAAAAACAGTGAAGCGCAAGAGCAACTGATGGAAGGCCTTGGCTCACTTTATCCCACCAAACACTTGCACAGGGATTTAAACCCAGGATCATACTGAACTTTAGGATCATCTAAAACACAAGAACACACACACACACACACACACACACACACACACACACACACACACACACACACACACACACACACACACACACACACACACACACACACACACACACACACACGAGCCAGGCGAAATGTCATAGTTACTTGGTTTATTCCTCCTGTGTGCATGGCTATGTAGTTAAACAGCTACACAGCACACAAGGTTTCAGCTGAGGGCAGATTGAAAATAATCCTAATTAAACATCACAGCTGTAGTGTGAGAGTGAGACAGGTGGGGGAGAGAGAGTGAGACAGCCGGTGTGAGTGTGTAACAAGAGAGGAGAAAATAAGACATCATAACTGCCAAACTCTGTAACATCAGAGGAGACAGGTTTTACGCTTACATCAGTGCCAATATTAGCGGTTGAAACCATATTATGTAATTTTCATCATCATTAATAACAACTCAGAAATGAAGACATAATCTTCCTGCTTTATGTATGACTTGATTTAAACCACACCCCTATTAACCACACCATGTCCTGGCTTTCCTTAAGCCCCTTCCCTATTTGCATACATCTGGAATGAATTGTCTTTACACATACTGTACATTTAAAGAGACAGGGATCTACTGTATAAGTAGGTGGGAAGCTGTGGAGATGAAAATGTTCTGAGTGATGATGATTGGTGGCTATTTCTGACCTCTCATATGATTAATTGTGCATCCACTTACTGTCTCCTTAATACTTGCTCAAACTGTAAAAAGTCAATGCTCTCCAGTGTACCCCTCCCCCTGCATTTTGGTGGGCATGGTGCCTGTGCACACACACACACACACATGCACACAGTCCCTGAGGCCAGCAAAAAACTGGGATCAGAAACAGAAATCATTCTGTTTTCTCTGTGACTCTACTTTCATGAAGTAAAGGAAAGGGTTGTTGTATTTTTTTTACTGTAAGAAGATTGGCTGTTTGATTGTTATAATAAGTATTGATGATATACTTGTGACCATCCAATCATTTTTTCTCAATGAAATTCATATGCAAATGGTAATTCAAATGTTTCCTAGCAACAAGATCGACCTAACTGTTGGAGCAACAATACTGAGGCAACTTCCAGGAGCTCAGTCGCCAACAGATTTGCCTAAAATATTTCCCTTCCTTTCACTGCTTTGAAATCATAATGCCTTAACCCTGTGTCAGCCCGGCAGGATTCAGCAGTGGGTCTGTGATTATAAATTAAGGTTGCATGCATTGCAGAGCTTCATTTAGAATAGTAGTTCAGATGTCAAGGTTTCTAAAGACACTGTGTCACACTGCAGTATGTGCAAATATGAAGCACAAGACATCTAGAATATTAATGTTACGGCTGTAAAGCATGGCATCCTGGGAATGAATATTTAATCAAATTTAAACATAATAGAGATGTATTGCAGTGCTGGATGAAGAAAATATAAAATATACATGTGATACATGTGGTAGAATGAAAATCTCTAACTTTATAGCATTCATGGGGTTAAATACAAGAACCTGTTGCTTCCCACTGTCAGGGCTACAAAGAAACTTCAACCTTCTTTGATTAATCTGCATGCACAAAGCGGTGTTCAGAGTACCTTAATTGTCTTTATGATCAAAATGTGACGGACTATTAGGTTCACACTCAACAGGTCACAAATCAAGCACATTTTGTTGCTGAAGCCAGCAAATTTCATAATCTGAGGAGAAAAAACAGTTTGTTTTGAATTGGAAAAAAAGACATGTGAGAAACCACTGCTCCCACCAGCCTGCTCCCATTTGCACATTTGAATCTCTGGGGGATGGTCACCTGCTCAAGATGCACTTGAAGCTCTTGGCACTGCAGGGCTTGTTGAAACTGTGGAGAGCAGAGAGGCTGAGCTGCTGCAGCCACTTCACTCCGGTGCTGCATGAGCCACTTTCTCTTTTTACATGGGCGTCAGTTTGAGTGTGATGGAACTATTTGATCTTGTAGTTTTCATTATTGTGAGCAATAATCAATATAAATCTACAATTATCCAAAGAACACAGAATATTAGCTTCCAGAAATGTACAGTGTGTCTGTTAACTGTTACCATACAACCAGCGACTGCACCAATTTCTCCCCATCATGCTGTCAGTGGGCTTTGAGCAGCTTTCAGGAACTTGTAGCAGCAGATAAGAAACCATGTGTGAACTTTCATCCGCAGCGGAGTTGAGTACACAGACACCCCCTCCTGCTTTGTTTTAACCTCTCACCTGTTTCTCCAGCGCTTCCTTTCCGGTGGTGGACATCTTGGGCGCCGGCGCGCGCTCGCAGGTGCATCCTTCCAACAGGTAAATCCCGGCTGGTCGCGCGCTCTGCTCGTTCTCGAAGTAGAACAGTACATTCTGATAAAGAGCGAAGAACTTCTCGTGCCATCGGCTGTTCTCCGTCGTCTTCTTGCTCAGGTAGCCGCGCTTCGTCCCCTCTTTACGCGCGACCACCGACAGAAACAGCGCGTGCCCTTCGTTGTAGCGGACGCTCTTCTGCATTTTTGTTGTGCGGCTTGGAAGAGAGAAGACAGTAGACAGTGGACAGTGGAGAGGGAGAGGGGGGTGGAGGGGTCTGAGCTTTCACCGTGAGCCCATGGTCGCCGGGGGTCGCGTGTAAACTTTCCCACCGAGAGACGCGCGGCTCAGCGGCGCCGTGGCGCACGGAAAAGTTGCCCCTCCGACGGGAGCGCTTCTGCAGAGGAACTCATAGTAAAGATGTCCGAGTCCCACGAGCACTAGAATAAATCCATGCTGCTCGCGGAAAGAAAGAAAAAAGCGCGCTTCTATAAATAAACAACAACTAACAAGAAGGAGAAAGCGAGAGGCGTGTCGTTCACAAAGGGGAGAACCCTCAAGTGGACAGACAGTGGCAGAATCACAGACCCGATGAACTGTAATCGGCTTTGACAGTGGTTAACTCTCTCTCTCTCTCTCTCTCTCTCTCGCACACAAACACTCACGCCCACTAGGTCTCTCTATCTTTCTCTCTCCCCTATGATGCGCGCTGGAGTTGGCGGAATTAAAGGCGGAGCGTGTGTGTGTGAGTGTGTAAGTGTGTGCGTGTTCGAGAGTGGGAGTGAGTGAGTGAGAGATAGAGATGTAATGCAGATTTTATCAGCTGTACTGTTGTGATTTGTTTCTGCATCATTAATAGCGTTGGACCAAAGAGCACGCACCAACTAATGCATTAATGGATTTAGAAAAAAAAAGTAAATGAATACAATATTAAACCCTGATAAATACCGGTGTAAGTCAACAGTTTAATGCTTTATCAGGTTAAAATGTGTTTCCTTCTCGTTTTCTGCCCCAAAAGAAAAGCTGAAGTTCTTATTTAAAAAGGTAAATTTGGCTGATTTTACACATAAAACTCGGTTTACAAATCTTGCGGAGGACTACTGCCAAAAAAAAGAATAGAAAAACAAGTGGTATAGCCTACAGTAAAGCCTTTTGTGGCTCCAGAGGAAGTTGAGCATACTCCGATAAACTGAGGCTAAAAGCCACATTAGCCACTCACATAACATATTTGAATTCCCAACCGAACTGCAGCACCTCATATCGAAGAATGCCTGAAATGCTGCATCGATTTTAAATTCTCTTTTTAGGGTCAAAGAGCAGCGTGACGAGTTTGTATTTTTATTATTATTTATTTAATCACCAAACACTGATGTAAATCTTGATCAGCTGGTTTTAATTGATGTTATCACAATTATAGTACTAACAATGGTGAGAACCAGAACCGGAGATGGTTAAAATCATTTTCACACACTGTTGTGTTGTACATTAGCAAAAAAAAGAGCAGCAACAACCTCTCTACTCCATCAGGAGTCCTTTCTGACACAAGTTTTACTTCTGTGAACAAGTACATTCTTCTTAGAGCATGCTCCTTCACTGACAGCTGGATTCTCTGGCGTTGACTACAGCGATATCAAGAGTTTGACTGCAGCCACTCCTTGAGAGATGATCTGTCCGAGATCCTCCAAAGATCTGAGAGAAGTTTCTTATTCTTCCTAGAGAGACGAAGACAAAGGCTGCTTAAACAAAATATTGTATATAAAACTACTATATCCTCACATAACCTTCCCCGTGTTGAGGATAAATACATTCACACACAGTTGTGTGAGAGTACAATAAAATCCCTGTTCTTAACCTCAGACCAGCAACTGAACTGCTCTGTGTACGATTATTGTGTACTCAGCATGGCTTCACTCCAACAAAGGACAAACATTTCATATAGGGAGGATTACAGTGATGGAGAGGTATGGCTCTGTGTGTGTGTGTGTGTGTGTGTGTGTGTGTGTGTGTGTGTGTGTGTGTGTGTGTGTGTGTGTGTGTGTGTGCATGTGTGTGCGTGTGTGTGTGTGTGTGCTGACAGATATTTCATATGGTGAGGATTACTTAGGAAGAGACTAAGCAGCAGTCAACTCCCAACAGGCTGTCTGTTACAGAGGGAGGAGATGCCGTGTACACATTTACAGACAGAAGACTGTATTTGGAGAGAGTGCAATATGCTGACAATTTGACAGCAAAAGACTAAGAATTTGCCGTATTTCCGCTTCCTAACTCAATCGTAAGCTGAACATCTCTGCACTGACAGTTTATGGTTCATCCTAATAGAAAAACCTGTCACATCAGCATTAAAAAAACATATTTTCTCTTCTTTCCCTACTACTGTGCTCTTGTGCATTCCTCTTAATAAATACAAATAAATAAGATACATAACATTTGGACAATTCCAGCACATTTATATTCATTAAAATTGTATTTTAGTTAATAACCAGATTAGGAATATAACACTGTTTAAAAAAGAACTTTAAACAAAGAATTTATAAATAACAATCTTATTTCTGCTGATGGAAAATTGCACCACAAACATGGCTAAATAAAAATAGTTACTAGCATCCCATACTACATTTACACTACAGGCCAAATTATTTGCAGCAATCAAGGAATTCCAACCCGGAAAACTTCATAACATAAACCTGCTTGTAGGTCTTTCTTCTGTGAGACTCCTTGATCTCATAAAGTCTGAGCTGCACCACTAATCTGCACCCAGTCTGATTTTCCAGGAATATTGGTACATTTTCTGGTTCAGACGTGTTAGCACAAGAATCAAGTCAAGTTCAGTGTTTAAGCTTAAATAAACACTGAATTTACTGTCGGTGGAGCTGCTTTGAGTTTGATTTCTTCACGACACACGTTTGATCCTTGGCTACATCGGTGCTTAACACAATCAAGAAAATCTCCAAAAGAACAGGATATTTTGTGATTTAAAGAAGGTTTAAAGCTATATTCCTCTAGTATTTAGTGTTTCACTTCCATAAAATAGGGAGACTTCTAAGAGACAGATTAATGAAGAAAAATCAAGGTAGGAATCAAAGAAGCAGAGGCTGAGATATTTCGACTTTAAGTACTTAATATGGGTGCAAAAAATAATGGATCCCACATTTCCCATAATGTAACTTGATAGTGTTTAAAAGTTAGGCTGCATTCAGAGCCAGCAAATAAATGTACCCAGGCTCAACCTTTGCCACAGCAAAACACATTATCAAATATATGGTAGATTACCTCGCCATGATTGCAAAAAAATATTGAATAACTGCCTCTGTGATAACTTTCCAGAGTTGCAAAGTCCTGTGTATCACAAATCACTGCTTACACTATTTTCCCAGACTTCAAACAGCTTCTCCAGAACCACAAAATACATTATACAAATGTTTTTACAGGTTGACATGTACTCCCTATGATCAGTAAACTGATCTTTATGTGTAAAATTAGTGAATTCCATCTATTACAAATGGTCAGGGTGAATATGTGTGTTCACTCTACCTCCTGGTGCTGACTATGCTCTCCAGCTCTCTGGCTTTGCGTGCAGCAGTGTGTAGTATAGAGTCTGTAAGGTCAGCCAATCGGGCGACATTCAGGCCGTAGCTCCGCCCTGCAGCTCCTTCTGTTAACTGGTAGAGGAAGGTGATGAACTCTGGCTGAACCTCTTCATCTGTCAACACATACACGCTCAAATCACAAGTGCCAAGTCATAATGATGTAGAAATTGCAAAAGTAAGATTGGCAGCTAAATTTGAGGAAGTCAAATTCACCAGAAAAGCATTTTCATATGCACACAAAAATGCACACCCACGTACCGTCAGTGTCAGTAGTGACATCAGGCTCATTGAGTAGGAAAGCCATGTGGTAATTAGACACATGTTCAGGATACACTCGTTCCAACTCACACAGGGGAGGATAATGGGTCACAAACAGGGTGAGGGCTTTCACCTAAGAAAAGGAAGGAGAGAGTGAAGTGTTAACATACAGAAAAAAAATCTGTGGCAGCTCTTAAGCCTTTTACACCTGGCATCAAAATGTTAAGGATCAGGAAAACTGCAAAAACATGGTCAGCCAGGTGTAAATGCAATCTTTACATTGTGTTCACGTTAGTAAGAAAATATCCAGCCATGGGTATAAAACTGCACAGCTCTATGCAGGAATGTCATCTCTACTGCTCTGTACCAGCATGCAAGAGAAGCTTGTCACTTCTGTTGTTTCTGACAGTCGTGGAAGACGTTTCTCTGGAAGGTAAAAGTAAGAAAACTAAGTACAGGCTGTACAGTAATGCCACTTGTGGGGACCCTCCACCTGCCATGTTTGGGTTTACTGACAATAGAACTACCACCTACTCACCAGCTTTGCATGGTGCCTGTGAAAAAGGGAGATCTGATCACAGTGTGCACAGAAAGCAGACAAGAAAATCACAGTAACTCAAGTCAATGTTAAGATATTGCTGTTGTATTTGTTATTTTCTGTTTAAAACATCCAGATTTAGATCACATTTGATTACCAGGCTCAAGGGAGGTCATGTTAACAGAACAATGATCACATATGAAAATTAATGAACCAAAGTCCAATAAAACACAATAATAAAACATTATCATAAACACGGCGAAGCCATAACCACAAAGTAAACACCAGCAAGCTAACATGCACACCAAGACAATGCTAACATGCTGGCATTTAGCAAATGTAATATTTAGCATGTTCACTAGTTTATGTTAGCATGCTAACATCTGCTAATTAGCATTAAACACAAAGTACAGCTGAGGCTGATGGGAATGTTAATAGTATGTGATATGGTCACAAATCAAAGTGTTTCAACCTGATGATGGCTCATGATGAGAAGTTAAGGCATCACTAAAGTTATTACAATTCATCCTGAGCGAGACATGAATGTCTCCATTAAATTTCATAGTAATCCATCCAGTAATTGTCGAGACATTTCAAATATCAACATACTAGTGGTGCTACAGATAAAAGTGAGGGGATCACCAAAGTCAATAGGGATCACAAATGGAAAATTTGAGGAAATCCACTTATAAAATAATTGGTTTCAAACCTGGAGGTCATGAGATGAATCTTAGGGGTCGTCAGACAATTACTAAAGCTATAATATAATAATATAATAATATAGGATATAATGAAAAACTAAATTCTGCTGCACAAAGTGATGATTATATGTCATGGGCATGAAACCTGTGAGGACGGATCACATATGGATGGTGGCACTGGAGGAAGAGTCAGCCAGGTCATTAGGATACATCCTCTGGGGACAACGAACAAACTTTCATGAGAATCCCTCCAATAGTTGTTGAGATACTGTATTTCAGTGGTGGACTGACCGACCAACCGACACAATGCTAGCGTGGCTACAAATCTAATCTACAAAGCAACCTCTGTCCCTACAGCACACTCAGTTTAAATGTTGTATTATGTAACATCTGTGTTACCACAACTAAGCAGAAGTGGAAAAACAAAGAGCAGAGCATCTACATCTATTGTACTTTCTCTGTCTCACTTAACTGCCTCTGTACCCTGCAGTATGCTGAGCTAATCCATAAAGACATGCTTTGTGAATATTACCACCAGAGTATAAACACATATATACAGTATTGTGTCACTTTTTCCCCCTTCAGTCTATTCACTTCTTAAGTTTTTTTCTTTCCCTTGAGGAATTCTGCATTCAATCACCCTGTTTTTCTGCATTTCACTGTAAACACCACACCCGGCTTTTCAGGCTCTGGAGAGAGATTGAGCAAAGTGAAGGCACTTCACCTCATCCCACTATTCTTTAATCTCTGTCAGGCCCGGGAGCCACCCAAAGGCTACATGATTGAACTCTAGCATTAAGGTTAAGACATGAAAATCACAAAAAGCGGGTGGTGCGCGCACTCACTCACTCAGCCTCTCTCTCAAATGCACGCACAAACATTTTACCTCTCAGCGCTGCACTCTCAGGACAGCTGCTGAGAGCTCTTCACTAAAAACAAATGTATTTCCTTTTCCTGCATACTTTAACAACCCAATCACACATAAATTGGAGTGGGGAGGACACATTAACACAAAATACTGTGAAAATATCTCCCACATACTAGAAAACAGTCTTGAAAATGTGACTTTTGAAGGACAATAACTAATGCTGGATTAAATATCCCAAAAATGTAAGCATTAAGAATCATTAAATCCGATGATGACAGTAATGATAACAAATCATGTATGAGCTCTTGTGGTGAAGCAGGCCTGAGTCTTACATCATTGCAGCAGACAGGCGGCTGCAGGACTCGGCTAGCTCCAGAATCGGCCCGCTAACCACTCGGTCTAAGAAAGGTCACACGTCACTAGTAATACCTTCCTCTGAAAGGGACGTGCAGGGTGCCTCCCACATGCTTCAGACAAAAACACAAAGACCTGCATCTGCTGAAACACATGTACAACACACACTACTCATACTCGCTCGCTCGCACGCACGCACGCATGCACGCACCACTCATACTACAATCACTCCTGTCCACCTACACTGAAAGGTAAAAACAAACGGAGCGTTGCAGAGAGAGGCTGCAGCCCGGATAATGGTCTGATTAGGTGCTAATGGCAGCTCATTACCAGACCACCCCGAGGGGCACTGACAGCCGTGCTCTGCAGAACTGGATGATGATCTGATGAAATTAGTGCTGAAACAATTAGTCAATTACTTGATCAGTCAATAACCAGAAAATTAATCATGGGCAATTTCAATAATCATTTAATTCATTATCAAGCACAGATTTGAAACATTAGTGGGTTGCAGGTTCTGTTGGTTAAACAACAATGGCAGTTAGCGTAGATGCTGCATCAGTTGTATTAGAACTGGAGAGCATTGCTTCACTGAAAGAAGAGCAAAGCCTGGAACTTGATGGAGAAGATGTTTCACTCTTCTTCTGCTTTGATCTCAGCCAACTGCTGAGAAAACTATCTGTCTCTTTAGAAGCTAAATGCTCCACTATGTTCACCAGCTAGTTGTTAACTTGGTCTGTCTGCTGTTTGGTGTTCATTACGCAGTGTAAAGATGGTTTATCAAAGCTTTTTCGCTGATAAACAGCTGCCATCAACATCAACACTGAGAAGATCGGCAAGACTGAACCAAAACTATAAGGGTTCAGGCCAGAAAACCAAAACATTGAGTTGAAAGAAGCTAGAGACCGGTGGGTGGTGACACCTCCTCATTTGATCCATTCTTAATTCAAAAATGTTGATTAGTGGAGCAAGTTAACTGATGAGGAAAATAAAAAGTAGTTGCAGCCATAGAAGAAACTATTTCTGTTGAAAAGTAGCCCTAGCTCAAAACATTATTCAAGTTTAATGGTGTGTATGATCTTAATTTTCCAGTCTATCTATCTTCTATGACATACACACAAAAATATATAACTGGAGGATAGAAAAAAGGGGAAGAAGCAGAGAATATTTCTCAGACTCTCTGATTATGAGAAGTGGTAGTCTGGGTCATGAAGCAGAGGAACGTATATAAATACCCACCCTTAATGTAAGCTAAAATCTGCTGTGTGTTTATATACAAGAGGAATGCTTGGAGCGGTCAGACATAAAGGAGGCCAGGTCCAGATGGGACAGGCTGTGTGTTCGGCTCACTTGACATGATGGTTCAAATAAAACAGCATCTCTGACATGACAGACTGCTGATCTGCCACAAGCCACAGGTAACACTTTCTCTGCATTGTGTCACCTCGTCCACCTCTTCTTCTCCCTGTAATATGTCTCTGATCTGAGCTCCAAATTGGTGGCTGTTTCGCTGTACACCTGTAGAGCATAACCACTAGAGCAGAACCACTCTTCCCAGCTGTTTTATAATGATATGGCATCCGATGCATGAGTGTGTGTGTGCGCACATGCAAGCATGCTTCAACTCTGTAATCTGATCCTGAGGAAAAGGCTAGAGGTGTCAACACCACTATTGCTGTCTCTCTGTCTTGTTACTACTCTCTATCCAATTAGACATAAAATCCAATTCTAACTCAAGTCACCGCCCTTCGTTTTCTCACCTCACAACTAACAAGGCTCTGGCTGAGGTGCTGTGTGCGTGTGTGAGAGAGTGAGATTTGGTGTAAATGAATCATGCACGTGTGTCACTGACCTCTGACTTTGGCTGCGAGTCAATCTTGTTCTCTCATTGGCCTACATTTTTTCAGCCCAGGGTCAGTGATGGGGGTCTAGGTGATGACCTTTACTTCTGGTCAGGTTTTGTCTTTTGGAAATACATCAATGCTTTTGGCTTTTTCCTAACATCCAGGGTGCACTAGACTGACTGTTTAAGATGCTGACTTGGACCAGTGCTTATGGTGCTTTCATATCTGTAGTTCAATGATACATTGGTTCTGTTATGTGTGTGTTTTTTAAGCTTTTTAAAAGGGGGCTGTTCGAAAACAACATTGTCCCCCAAAAGAGCTGCTAGTCTTGGTACAGTATTTGTGCTTTTTATGACTACTGATGGATGGTGAATAAGAAACCTACATTTTGCATCCATTTATGAAATATTAAAGTTTCTATATTGTGGTTGTAGGAATCTCTTAAAGGGAAATTCTACCGATTTTAAACATCAAAGCCTGTTTACAGGTCTTGGAGAGGAGTTCTGCACGTGTGAAACAAAAAACAATTTGAGAGAGGGAGCTGTTCAAAAGCTGATAAATCACCATTTTGGCACAGAGGTTGCCGCTTGCTTAGAACATGTTAGGTCAAGTAGACCTGCTGGCATGACTGTGCGATTAAAAAATATGATATTATATACAGATATATACAGTGAGTACTGAGTATTCCTTGTTATATAGCTGTGAGAATAGCAAACATGAATTCATGAAACCTTTGATTTGTTGAGAATACATTAATACATTATAACATTGTAAAGTTAGCTAATGTTGGTCTGTAAATGTTTTATGTAGGTAGAATTTTGTGTTTTA